AGAGAGAGAGAGAGAGAGAGAGAGAGGGGCTAATTGGATGAGGAAAGAGGAGAGAGAGATGCTACCTTCTTTCTACTCTTGGGATATATGTTGAAATGGCCCCTGGTGTGACAGCTCCCAATATGAAGTTAGAGAGAGAGAGAGAGTGAGTGAAGTTAGAGAGAGAGAGGGGTCTAATGCCAAATTTGCCTGGTTTTTACGGCATCTAGTTTCAGGGCAACAGTAAAGCTGCCTTTCCCTTTCTTGGAAAACTATACGGTGGTCCCATTGCTTTTGTGCGTAATACCTTAAAAACACCTTCTTCTTTCCTGGAATTTCAAAAATATCCTTTTCAGTAATGGCATAACGAAATGGGATGAAAAACCCTTTGCCATGTCATTGGCTTTGTGTTCCCGCAAGGTTGGGAGGCCCTCAAGTGGACACAAGCTTTTAGAACTAGCAAACAATCTGCTATTCTATTCTGCCCTTTAGACATGTCTTGTGCATTACAACTCAATGAACTAAAAAAAGCTATAGTATGGTCTAGTGATTTAAAAAATGGATCGATGACCTAAATTGGACATTTCAAATTCTAGTCCGAATCAATGAGTTCGATGGTGCAGATCGCTATTTTATTGTGCAAAAAAACCAATAAACCGACAAAAAAAACGGTTTGTATAAATGAATCGGTGGTCTGGATCGCCATCTTATTATAGAGAATCGTTGTTCTACTCTGCCAAACTACGTGTTCCTTTCTAAACTTGGCTGTTTTCCTACGTATTTGTAGAAGTGGAACAGAGCGATCGATTCTCAAGTCAGACTGGACGGTTCCATGTGGACCCAATATTTTTTAAATCATTAGTATGATCCATATGATCATGATAAACAATATAACCATCCACCTATCACCGTAGAATCATACGGTTGTATGTTACGGTGATATGCTTGATATGATTTTCTTTCAAAAAAAAAGATATGCTTGATAGGATCCACTCCGCTAGCACCAACTCATTGGCGGGATATATATGCACGTGGTGTAAGATTAAATCCTGATTCAATTTTTTGGAATGTTGGATGAAAGTGGAACGTTGGATGAAAGTGTTTAGAAAGTAAAAAATTTACTTTTAAATACTTATATGAAGGGGATCTAAAATTTTTATAATTAGAGATGAAAATAGATTTTAAAATAATCCTAAAAGATTTTTGTTGAAATTACAATAAAATTTGAAAATGCACTTTAATTGGATTATTTAAGATTGCAACTTTATAGAAACCACAATATTGAAAATTATAAAAAACATAATTGGCAATACTACTAAATTTCATCTAAGCGGGGTATTCCGAGGTCAAATCAAATAGTGGATAACAAAGAAAGCTAAGAAATCAAAAAATAAATAGCATTAGGTAATCCGAGCATTTTTCAAGTAATTTCAAATTGGATCAGTAATTTTCAAATCACTGTTTAGATGATCCCTTAGAGCTAGAAGGGTAGGAATAGTGCTAGCAACATGTGGGCCTAGCCATGGCACTAGCCCGGCCTTAGTCCCTATGGGATCGTCGCAGCCAGCCTTGATTGAGCCAAAGAGCACGTGGTCTTAACCTTAAAAGGCTTGGGCCCGGTCGAGCCTTGCCAAATAAAAAAAAAAAAAGAGAGCCAAACCGAATCGTATTGGCCATAGCCTAAGCCTGACCCTATGCTCAAGTTGTACCCCAAGCCCTAATTTTGTAAGGTCGAGCCAGCCGGGTCAAGGAATAGGACTAATATTAGGGCTATAAACGTTTTTAAAAAATAAAGATATTAAGGCTATAATGGACAGGGCACTTTAGGAAACCAAGAAGGGTGAAATAGCATGGGAAGGTTAAGAAATCGTATTTGCCATTTAAGAAAGAAGGGCTGATAAATATTTAGTTCATTTGATATTATTTTAAAGAGTAATGGTTTTATAGGACCTTCTCTCATTCATGTGTGTAAAACTTTAAAGGATCACAATTAAAATTGATATAAATCTCTAAAAAAATTATTACATGAGTGTGGGAGTTGGCTTTTTTTATAGATCCGTATCAAATTTAATGATAATAATTTTAAATCTTATACAAAAAAAAAGTTATCACATAATTATAAAGCTTGATTTTCCTTTCCTATCAAATTTAATGATGATTTTTTTGAGATCCTACACATGAATAAACTCAATTTTATAAGACCATTTACCAATTTAAAAAAAAAATAACGCCGTACCGATAGAAGATTGCGTAGAGAGAGAGAGTGGAATGAGTGCCCCTCTCTCTTCCTAGGCCTCAAAGTTCAGACATGCAGAGCATAGAGAGAGATGGAGCGTGAGGCAAGAGAGATAAATAGTAAGAAGAAGCCAAGCAAATAGTAACATAGTTTCTCACTTCACATGGATATCTTAAGTCGACCATGCGGATCACAAAACTCTATGCAAAAAACTCCCCCACTTTATCTCTCCTCTTCCAGGCCTGCACAGAAGCCAATTCACTTGTCCAACTCCACTGCCAATTACTCAAGACTGGCCTCTCTCACAACACCTTTCTCAACACAAAACTGGTTTCTCTTTATGCAAAATTCAAGCGTTTGTTCGATGCTCGTCAAGTGTTTGATGAGATTCCACAAAGAAACATATATTTATGGAACGCCATGTTGAGAGGCTATTGCAGAGAGAGAAAGTGGCAAGAAACGCTTGAACTTTTCTCTCAAATGGAGAGACTGGATGTAAAGCCAGATAATTACTCAGTGCCCATTGCCATCAAGGCTTGTGCAGGCCTCTCGGCCATTCGTCTAGGCAGGAAAATCCATGAAAAGATTATGGGCAGTTGGGTCATTGCTGATATGTTCGTGGGTTCAGCGCTGATCGAATTATATGCAAAATGTGGAGAAATGGAGGAAGCCCGATGTGTGTTTTCACAATTTTCTAAACCAGATGTTGTGTTATGGACTTCTATGGTGACTGGTTATGAGCAAAATGGGCAATTCGATGAAGCATTGAACTTTTTTTCTCTAATGCAGGAGAGAGGGCCAAGGCCTGATACTGTTACTCTAGTGAGCGCGTTATCGGCTTGCACCCAATGTGAGAGAAACATCAAGGACGGGAAATGCTTTCATGGGTACATAATCAGGAGGGGATTTGAGACTGATTTGCCCCTCATCAATGCCCTCTTGAATTTTTATGCCAAGTCCGGATCAATGAAACTTTCTAAAAAGGTGTTCGATAATATGAATGAGAGAGATGTTGTCTCATGGGGTGCCATGATCAATGGGTACGTTTACAATGAGCAGGCAGCCGAGGCATTGGGTATTTATAGAGAGATGCTAGAGAAAGATATAGAGCCCAATTCAGTTACATCAGTAGGTGCACTTCAGGCTTGTGCCATTATGGGGGCCTTAAGAGATGGCCAAAGGATCCATGACTCTGCAATTAGAAATGGGTTCGAATCTGATCTCGCTTTTTCTACAGCTTTGATCGATATGTATATGAAATGTGGATGCTTTGAGCTTGGGCTCGAGCTCTTTAACCAAATGCCTGTTAAGGATACTGTTACTTGGGCGGCGGTAATTAGTGGTTATGCTCAAAATGGCTTAGCAAAGGAGTCTTTAGGGGTTTTTAGAGAGATGTTAATGGCTGGTATTTTACCTGATGCTGTAACAATGGTGAAGGTTCTTGCCTCGACTGCACAATTGGGTCTTGTTCAACAAGCGTTATGCCTTCACAGCTACCTGATAAAAACTGGGTTCGAGGAGAAACCATTTGTTGGGGCCTCTCTGATAGACTTGTACTCGAAGTGTGGGTCTCTAGAATGTGGAGTAAGACTGTTTGAGGCTATGAGAGAGAAAGATGTGGTGGTTTGGAGCGCGATGACTGCCGGGTTTGGGATTCATGGGTCTGGGGCTGAAGCCATTCAATTATTCAACAAAATGTGTGCTGCCTCAATTGTACCAAATAATGTCACATTTGTCTCTGTCTTGTCAGCTTGTAGCCATTCAGGATTGATTCAAGAAGGCTTCGATCTTTTCGATGTCATGGTCCATAAATACGGAATAGTACCTGATGTAGAGCACTATGCTTGCATGGTTGATCTTCTTGGTAGGACTGGTAATTTGAAGAAGGCCATGGATTTTGTTGAGATGTTGCCTATAAAGGCTGGTCCTCAAGTGTGGGGTGCTTTACTTGGTGCTTGTAGGATTCATGGAAACGTAGAGTTAGGAGAACTTGCAGCAAAGAAGTTGTTCGAATCGGAACCAAACCATGGTGGGTATTATGTGCTATTGTCCAACATATATGCAGTTGGAGGAAGATGGGGTGATGTAGGGAAAGTGAGAAGATTGATGAGAGATAAAGGATTAAGGAAAACACCAGGTTATAGTTCAATAGAGATCAAGAATGTGGTTTCTATGTTTTTGGCAGGGGATAAGTTGCATGCGCAATCGGAAGAGATATGCCGGTTGTTGGGCATTTTAATGGCGGAGATGAGAGAGAGGGGGTATGAACCTGATACCAGCTTTCTAATGCATGGTATGGAAGATGAGAGGGAAATTTTATTGCATGATTTGGAAGAGGAGAGGGAAATATTTGGGGGCAAATGCTGAAAGTAGAAGAGAGAGACACTATGAAATTGATTCTTTGAGACTAAATCACAAAGAATTTGTTGTAGTGAAGGTTCTTTAAGACTAAAGGCGGCAGTTTTTAGTCACCAATTCCAAATCAAAGAACTCACATCAACTTCTCGAGTATTGAACTGCTGATTTTTCCCTGAAATTGGAAATTGAACAGTTCAATCCTGTGCCTGTGAGTGTGCCACAGTAGATTTAATCTCAATCTTGAGAGAAGCGCAACCGTCTTTTAGAGCTTAGAAAAGATTGACTCCTCTCCGACATATAATACATTCATTGTTTTTGGGTGATTCAGTGTCAGGAATTGATTAAACTGCTAAACATCAGCTACGGAACACTCAAGCCTTGATTCCTTATTTAATACATTTGTATATGCTCATTGTCATAGGCAGCATTCAAAAAATACGACTCGTCCTCTGAGGTGGTCACCCAGTGAACTGGCTCGACAATTCTTTACTGTCGGCATTCCATCTAAATTTGGAGCCTCTACTTCACCTCTCACAGCCTAGGGTCTCCCGGTCTTCCTTCAGGTCACCTCCTAGCTCGGGGACCATCAAGTTCAACTTCGAGAGTGTTCCCTGGGAACCCCGGACTGGCTAGCATTTACGGTCTTTTCTGGAACAGCGAGGGTCATATCCTGGCCTCTTTCTCCAATTCTATCGGCCACTTGATGCCCAATCAGCAGAAGATCTCACCCTCCTCGAAGGCCTTAGACAATATGCCCACAGATGGCCTCTTACCACTTATCTACAAAGAAGACTCACTCAAACGTCATTCACTGGGCCTCGTCAGCCCCCCTATCCGTGGGTCCTAGCTCAAACTTTCGAAGAAATTGCCCACCTTTGTTCGGGGATTTCGATCTCATGGAATCATGTTTGGCGCAAGATATCTCTAATGCAGGGAGCATGTAATCCCATGTCCAAGTAGTTTCAATCTCATATAGGAGTATCCGGCTCCTCTCGCCCTTTTTATCTTATTCTGGGTCCCCTTAGGGGAAACCCACCCACTTTTGGATGTACAAGGCCCCAATTTTGGGGGGCCATTTCTTGTAACAACTCTATTATAAGTAAACAATGTTAGCATAATAAAAAAAAGATAATCGGAAGTGGGGATTCCTGTGTTCCTCAAATAGGAATTGCCCCCTACCAATCCCGAGGCAACTTGGTGATTTTAAGTGGACTCCGCAGTTTTGAAAACAAAACACTGATATGGGTTTAAGATATAAGGCTCATAATATGCTGTGAAATCCATGCCAATTAGCATTCTCATTCCCAGTTCATTTTAGTTTCTTTTTGAAGTGTTAACTTTCGCAGTTCATTACAGTTCCCATAACAAACTTTTATATGCTAACAGCAAGCACATGAAATACCTCTGCAATCTCAAATCTTTGGATTTTCTCACTCATCATTATTTCCTCATACCCAACATCTTCTGCCTCTCACTAAACCCTACCAAAACCCATGATAAGATGCTCTACCACTCTCCACCTGTTCAAACCACTGAAAGCACAGAACCCACTTCCACTGCTTTCTCTATGCTCTTTCAGTCTTGCAGAGACTATAACCACCTCACGCAAATTCATGCCAAAGTACTAGTGTCTGGTTTTCAGGGTAACATGTTCATGTTGAACAAAATTGTTGCTTTATACATTACATTCAGTGATTTGCAGCTTGCCCATCTGGTTTTTTCTGGAGTGAGAAGGCCTACATGCTTCATGTGGAATGTTATGATCAGGGGCTATGCCACAGGAGGTCAATTTGTGGAGTCAATCCAGTTGTACTGTAAGATGTTAGAGATGGGCTTCTCACCTGATAAGTTCACGTTCCCTTTCATTCTGAAATCTTCCGCTGGCTTGTCGGATTTAGAGAGAGGAAAAGTCATTCATGGACATGTTATACGTTATGGAGTTCATAATGATCGCTTTGTGGATGCGGCCCTCGTAGACATGTATGCAAAATGCGGTTCCATATGTATCGCTCGTCTAGTGTTTGATAAAATGGAAGAGAGAGATTTGGTTTCATGGACTGCCATGATTTCTGGTTATGCCCAAAATGGTTGTGACACTGAAACTCTAGAGTTCTTTAGCTTGATGCAAAGGGAAGGTGTTCAACCCAATAGAGTAGGTTTCCTCAGTGTGCTCTTAGTCTGTGGGCATCTTGGGGCTCTAAAAAAGGGAGAATTGTTCCATGGTTTCATAATTCAGACTGGTTTCGAGTCTGATGTATCAATAACGACTGCACTCATAGACATGTATGGGAAATGTGGGAGCATGGACATGGCTGGCCTCTTGTTTCATCAAACTGGGGAGAGAGATGTTGTTTTATGGAGTGCCATCATAGCCTGCCATGGCATGCATGGCCATGGGAGAGAGGCAATCTCTCTCTATGATGAGATGATAAAAACTGGCATGAAACCCAATGAGGTCACGTTCACTTGCATTCTCTCAGCTTGCAGCCATTCGGGTCTTTTAGAGAGAGGTCGAACATATTTTGAATCCATGATCAAAGACTATGGAATCAAGCCCAACATGAACCATTACACATGCATGGTCGACCTTCTCGGTCGAACTGGCCTATTATTCGAGGCCGAAAATCTCATAAAAACCATGCCTTATGAACCTGACGCTAGTGTTTGGGGAGCTTTGCTTAGTGGCTGTAGAATTCATGGTAATATGCACCTGGGAGAAAGAGTTGCAGAGAAGCTCCTAGAACTGGACCCCTCTCATGCTGGGTACTATGTCCTATTGTCGAATCTCTATGCTGCTAGATCAAGATGGAGAGATGTAGATAGAGTGAGAAGATTGATGCTACGGAGAGGAGTGAAAAAGCCACAAGGATTTAGCTTGTTTGAGCTCGATAACTATGTTTACATGTTCGGGGTTGAGGACAGAACGAATCCACAATCAGAAAAGGTGTATGCTTTGCTCGAGAGCTTGGCTTCACGAATGAGAGAATTGGGCTATGTTCCATTGATTGAATTTGCTCTCCATGATGTAGAGGAGGAGACAAAAGAAGCCTCACTTGTTTATCACAGTGAGAGGTTGGCCATTGCCTTTGCACTTTTGAACACAAGGCTAGGGGCCACCATTCGAATCACTAAGAATCTTCGAATTTGTGGAGATTGTCACAGTGCAACTAAGTTTATATCGAAGATTGTGGAGAGGGAGATAATTGTGAGGGATATGAACAGGTTCCACCATTTCAAGCATGGCGAGTGTTCTTGTGGGGACTATTGGTAATGCCTTTGACAGCAAATATTATGAAAATCGAGTAGGAAAATTATTTGTATGGCAAAAGAGTGTGAATCCAAAGAAGCCTCACTTGCTTATCACCGTAAGAGGGTGGCTATTACCTTTGCAGTTTTGAACACAAGGCTGGGGGCCACTGCTCCAATCACTAAGAAAATTCGAATTTGTGGAGATTGTCACAGTGCAACTAAGTTTATATCGAAGATTGTGGAGAAGGAGATAAATTTGAGGGATATGGACAGTTTCAACCATTTCTAAGATGGAGAGTATGAAAAAGAGAAAAAAACGTGTGTACATAGTACCAGAGGAGACAGATGGTAAATTGGCCTTGCAGGAGCATACCTTGTTTTTTAAATGCTTCAAACAGGGGAAAACAAATTATTTCATTGTATCTACGCAGAAATCAAATTTCAGCCGTTTTTAGTCGGATGGATGTTGCCTCAGAAGCTTCCTATGCCATATTGTACACAAAACATGGGTTTGCATATCCTAGGATCCAAACGGAGTAGTTATAAAAAGGTGAAGCCATGAGCACCGACCTATTTGATACAAGGGATTGTCTACAAAGACACATGTGTTTTTTGTACATGGAAGTTACAATTATTATAATCCTTTAAATTTCAAAATAGGTAGTTATTAGAGTGTCATTGAATAAACACCAAGTTCTAAAAAAAAAATTATCGGATTTTGTGACTCACCTCAAACTATCTAATTTATCTAATGAAAGGGAATTATTGTGACCTTGTAATGTCGAGATACAAATTTTTTTATGGACAACTTTAAGGTTATCCATAAAAAGATTTGGAAGTAATCATAGTGTACTTATTTTATTCTTATTTTGTGGGCTTCTAGGATGGAAAAATATTTGTTGTGGTGGGCTTCATGGCCAAAGAGGTGAGGCGTACCGCATTTCTCTACAATTTTTGGTGTTTGAAGACCTCTGCAGATCCATTTACTTGCCTACCTAGATCCTGGATCTTCAATAACCATCCCAGGGGGTCGCCTAAAAGTGCGCCTTCTTGAATGTCATATCAACTTGTTTTGACCATGTTAGATCACTCAGATTAGGACTGGATCTCCAAATTTGTTTTTCTCAAGGTTTTAAAAATCACTAATATGGATCATAATTGCCTGATTGGGATCGAAAATTGTTACAACCGATATGGTTTCGATCATATATCGAGAACTAGTTGATCGGATCGAAAATTGTTGCAACCGATCTGATTTCTATCCTATATCGAGAACTAATGGATCGGATCGAAAATTGTTGCAACCGATCTGGTTTCTATCTTATATCGAGAACTAGTTGACCCCTTTTGAAGGGACGGTATATCAAGAATTAGTTGGCCCCCTTTTGAAAAGACGGTATATCCAGAATTAGTTGACCCCCTTTTGAAGGGACGGCTTTGTAATAGAACTAGCCTAAAACAACCGCGTCATATTATTTGAGCTTTTTTTTTTAATTTTTTTTCTTATAATTTAATTTAATTTATTTAAAAAATGAAAACAACCCAAAAAAAAAAATTTAATTTATTTAAAAAACAGAAGTAACCTATTGTACAATAACCACATCATCCAACATGTTTTTCCCAATCCCGAGCACATGTAGCTAACACTCGACGCTATTGCATGCGCCTACACCTTATATAAAGCATGTTGCTTTTTTAAATCCCTGGTGTGGGACGTTTTTTTCATATTTTTATTTATTTTTGCTTTTTAGTAATCACATGAAGCAACTTGCTAAATATATGCATTATTGCATTCAAGGTTAAAAAAAAGAAAAAACAAGAGTGAACTATTGTTTCTTTAAATCCGAGACTTAGTTTGGAAAAAGGGTTGGGGTTGCAGTGGTAGCACCTTACACTCTAGTCACTACTGCTAACACTATCCCACTAATACCTTTAAAAAAATTAACTCTTAAGTTACTTGAAAAAACAAACCGCTAATACCACCCAACTAATACTTTAAAAAAAAACTAACTCATAATTTACTTAAAAAAAACACAGGTGGGGGCCTATATTCCCACTGAATTACCTAACCCAAAACAAAAAAAGTTGCTTCACTCTACCGCATGAAACTACTTTGAAAAAATTGCTTCACTCTACCCTAAAAGTGCGCCTTCTTAAATATCATATTTGTTTTGACCGTCCATTTCAATGAACCTTAGATCACTCAGATTTTGGACTGGATCTCCAAATTTGTATTTCTCAAGGTTTCAAAAAATCGCCGATCCGGATCATAACTGCCTAATTTGAATCGAAAATTGTTGCAACCGATCTAGTTTCTATGGTATATCGAGAATTAGCCGATCCCCTTTTGAAGGAACCGGCTGTCTTATAGAACTGACTTAAAACAGCTGCCCCATGCTATTTGAGTTTTTTTATTACTTTTTTAAACTTTTACAATTTAATTTAATTTTTTTTAAAAAAATAGAGGCAACCTATCCCAATTTTTTGGAAAGTTGTGCAATTACCACATCATCCAACATATTTTTCCCAATCCTGGGCACAACTCAGTGCCTTGCGCGTGTGGCTAGCACTCAACACTACTTCAGACGCTTACATCTTTTATAAAGCGGGTTGCTTCTTTAAATCCCAGACGTGGGACTGTTTTTATATATTTTTGCTTCTTAGTAACCGTGTGAAACAACTTGTTATAAAAGTGCACTGTTACATTCAAGGTTAAAAAAACAACGAGAGTATACTATTGTTTCTTTAAATCCGGAACATGGTTGGGAAAGGGGCCCAGGTTACGGTGGTGGCACTCCACACTCTAGTCATTATGTTATGATTTCTATTCCCATTGCTACCACCACCCCACTAATACTTTAAAAAAAATTAACTCTTAATTTACTTAATACCTTAAAAAAATTAACTCTTAATTTACTTAAAAAAAAATTAACTCTTAATTTACTTAATACCTTAAAAAAATTAACTCTTAATTTACTTGAAAAAACGACTGCTACCACCACCCTAGTAATACTTTTAAAAAAACTAACTCTTAATTTACTTAATACCTTAAAAAAAACTAACTCTTAATTTACTTGAAAAAACGGGTAAGGGTCTGTCTTCCCACTGAATTACCCAACCCAAAACAAAAAACAAAAAAAATTGCTTCACTCTACCGCATGAAACGCCTTTGTTTGGGAAATTTAGCAGTATTCCATGAAACGAAAAAATGTTTTGGGTGTTGAATAACAGTATTGCATGGGACATTTAAAAATGAACAAATTGCTAAAAAAAAAAACACCTTAAAAAAAAAAAAAAAATTTAGAATAGTGAAAGCATGTGTGGTGAAAAAGCAGAAATGGAAGATCATAGCTTTTTTCTTTATTGCCATTTTAATTTATAAAAACACGATAGTTCATTGTGAGGGTCATAACTTTTCCTCACTCTATTAATTCAAAAGGTCCAAACTTATTGTAGTTTTTTTTTCTTTTCTTTTTCACTATAAAAACCTGAGTTATGGAGATCTATTTTATTGCAATGAGTTGTATTTTAAATCTTATTTTGACTATAAAATAGATGTAAGGGATAATAATGATTGAGACATGAGATATGTTCTAAGTACTTATATATTTTTAGTAAAATATTTTAAAATTATAATGCAATACCATTATTTTTTTCAAACCCTAAACAAACCAAATGTTCAAGAAATTCTAATGATTTTTTGAAAAAATTTAATGTTGGATCTTGCCTATCCAACTGATTATCCAGTCCGGATCGCCAATCCACCAACCCGGCACAATTTTTGGGTAGCCAATCCAAGTTACCGATCCACTTTGTTAAACCTTGATCTTGCTAAAGCATAAACGGATTTGGAGATGTTTAAATGGTTTTTTGGTCCTCAGCCTGATTGCTCACTGCAGTGGCGTTCCCCCATTTTCAGACCTTGCCCATTTTCAAACCATGAACCGCATGCATCCTCAACTATTAGATGTTTGTAGTATTGTTTGCTTTGATTTTATTTGTTATACTATTTTAAATTTTAATGTCGTTTTTTTATTTTATTAACCTTCTTGTAGTTTAAGGAATATATCATCGAAGGGCTTAAACTATCTTGCAAAATCATTAAATGACTCTGACGATTCCATTTCCCAGAGATGTTGTTTGAGTTTCATTTCAGAAAAGTATCTCCCCAAAAATGTATCGAAAAATTTCAAATTACCCCTGTCCACGGTTGAGAATTCGGAACTAAAGGTGCTGTGTGGCTCATTTAAGTGGCTTGAGCCAGCATCCGTGATTGTTCAATGCTGGAAATAGAAAAGCCAAAAGCTTATAATACCCCTACTTCATCAGGCTTTGCTTGATAGAACCAGGGTATTTTTATCAATCCATATTCCCAACCCCTGAAAACAACCATAGGCATTTTTGTTATTCGGCTTGATTTGGTTGAATGTTTTAAACTACCAAATTACCCTTAATTCAAGCTCCCCAATTAATTTTTGAGAAAATTGCATAAAACACTTCCATAATGAACTTCCTAAGCACTTCACCCCATCTACCATTTTGTAACAGTTTTTTCCCCAAAATTATCTTTTTTAGCAAATAACCCGCCAACTAAAAAAGCAAAAAAAAGTAGATTAAAATATCCTTCCTGGAATTGGCCCAGTCCGGCATTATGAAGGGCCAGTCCGGTACTTCAAGCAGCCAGTTTGGTAGTTCTAGGAGGCAGTTTGGTACTGAGGTCACTGCAACTCGTCGGTCCAACATTTGGAAGGGGCAGTCCGATATTGAAGTCACTAGAATTGGCCCGGTCCGACATTGGAAGGGGTAGTCCCGACAGCTCCAGGAGGCAGTCTGGTGTTTCCTTTTATTGATATCGGAAAATGATTTACTAGGTACGAAAAGGGTATTTTCATCAACAAAGTAAACTTTTGTGTTGGAGGTTATTTGCTAAGAAAGATCGTTTTGGGGAAAAAATTATTAGAAAAAAAGTAGATGGGGGTAAGTGCTTAGGAAGTCTGGGTCTCATGGAAATTTCCCTTAAGTTTTCTATTGGGGTACCTTTAACTTTAGTAGCTAAATAGGTACCTTAATGAATTGATATTCAAAAGTCAAATGTGCAATGGTAAATGAGATTGTTTGGCCTTTCGTTCATTTGGTAAGATGATTTGATCCTTTTACGGACATTTCCGTAACTTTATTTTATATTTTTTTATTATTTTTCAGATTTGATCCTTTTACCGATATTTCCGTAACTTTATTTTATATTTTTTATTATTTTTCGAAGCGCGAAGTATTATTTTATTTTCTATTATTTTCCAAAGCCATAATGTCAATTTCCAAAAGTTTCTCCATTTCGGTCCCATTCTGTTTGGCTCCTTTTAAAACGCAGCGTTAATATATTTTTCGGAAACCACATCCTAAGGGTGCATACTTATATGGATCCGGTTTCTTTTTGAGATACATTTTAAGACTTAATTTTTAAGGACTTATAATCTCTAACATGGAGATTACAAAATAAATAAATTTAAAAATTATAAATAATAATTATAATAAAAAAACATTTGAACTGTTAGTTTCTAGAACTGTTAGTTTCTAATGTTTTTAGATGGAACACCTACTTGCATCCATCTTTAAGATGGATACTTACACTTTCAAGACCGCATATGGAGGAATGCGATCCAGCCCGTATGAAACAATTTTCTTACTTTATATAAGGTTAACACCTTCAAATTTAGAATTAAGGTGCACTTCTAAAATTCTTTGAAAAAAGTAGTTTGTGTAGATATGCAAAAAAAAAGATATTTCAAATTCTAAAAATAGCGCAGTTGCAAAATATTATCTAGACCAACCATTTTCAAGATTTTCATGCATTTATAAATTTATATGGTTTGAACCATTTTTTAAGTAAAATTTTATATTAGCGATAAAAATAAATTCTCGCACCATTCCAAGAATTTTCGACACAAAAATTACATCTCAATGCAATTCTTAAAGAAAAAACAACAATGAACACGTATATTTTAAGACATAAAAAGTGGCAAAAAATGGCGTTAGATTGAGACCTAGAAGGAATTGATTTAACCCCCAAATTTTGAGTCATGTTAATGTGAATTTTCCGTGGCTTTTCAAGAAATTATTTTCATGAGCTACTTCATCAATATAATGGCATGACTGGTAATGCTCAGAGCTCCAAAACAACAGAGGACGGGACCATGCAGTTGTCCATAAAATATTTTTCCCCAATTTAAATCTAGTGAGGGCTCCAAAACAACAGAAGACGGGACCATGCAGTTGTCCATACAATAGTTTTCCCTGATTTAAATCTAGCTGGCCATGTTTAAACTGGCCAATATATTTTCTTCTTTTTCCTCACCCAACAACAAGACAACTGCCGAGTTATCGCTCAACACATCCGTTGGTAGTACAAATTGCTCTGAATGGTCTTATAATATACAATGCAATCCGCCCCGCGCCAAAGCCAACATAGAATGGGGATTGCATATAAAGCACCTTATCCATGCACTTCGGACATGAAAAACTGGCCCTAAGACTCAACCGAAATGACTTCCTATAAATGCATTCCCTCTCGCAGTTAAAATTTGCCACTTGACCTAACTTTTCAATAGAATAGTTGAAGTAAAAGGAAAACCATCAAATATAGTCAGCAAATAGAAAAGACTGAGCCATAAGTACAACTCAAGATGAAGGAATGATGATTCTCCTTTTCTAGTAACCATTACATATCGAAAATTATAATTGAACGTAGAGAAGAATAAACGGCAGAGTAGGTTCATGCTACAAAGAATGCAAAACCATCAGCACCATTTTAGCCAAGTATTATTCACAAATGTACCCACACAGAAAATCCTGAAAGGAAGTAGACTAAACAGAAGTATAATTCACAAATATACCATAGAAAATCCTTAAATGGAAGTAAACTGAACATGAAGCTGACCATGAAGCCAAGGTTAGAACCAACTTGCCTGGACTCATTCACGAGTTCCATCTCCCTGTGTAAACCACTGAGAAACTCAAAAGTAAAGGTGCCAACAAATCAAATGGTAGAAGTTTATAATTGCTGATCAAGATAAGGATCTCTTGGCGATTTCCCTTCTGTTCCCAAATACTCTGCAACATTCCCTGTAATTCCGTGGACAAAATTATTCAGCCATGAAGTGCTTCGAATCAGCCAACCAGTCTGTGCTTGGTTGTTTTCTTGAACCATGCTCTTACGTTCTTCCTCCAATAGAATATCGAGCCATCTCTTTGCCATGTATTCCTTAACAGCTTCAACCCCTTGGTTTACAATCTCCATAGGTGGAATAACTAGGGGATTTTGGTCCAAGTTGAGCTTGGTTAGCTTTTCTAATCGACCAAAGGTATCAGGAAGAGCATGGATCTGATTGTTGCTGAGGTCGAGCTCTTTGAGATTAGTCAGGTCCCCAATTGTAAGAGGCAGTCCAGTTAAATCGCTGAAATTGCTGCTTAGATTCAAGTATTCGAGATTTGTAAGTCTCCCTATAGATTGAGGTAGCGAGCGAAGCTCATTGAAGTGGAGGTCCAAATGCCTCAGGGACCTCATCTCAGAAACCGAAGATGGCAAAGATCGTATCTTGTTGAGATGGACAGAGAGCCTTTGGAGATTCACCAACTCATATCCAATGTTTGTTGGTAAAAATGTCAGCTGATTGAAGCTTGCATCCAACTCTACCAAAGATCTGCATTGAAGATAATTCAAATCATAAAGAACGGAGACAATTCCGATTCAAATATTATTTAGGGCATTCTGATGAGAACATGAAATTTTTTTTCTAATTATGGGTAAGGATATTATAGTCCAATGGACTATCGAAAACCATAATCCACCACCATCCAGTGAAATGATGGACATGGATGGAGACCAAGTGGGCTAACCATTTTGGGTCATATGAGGGCTGGCATTCCCCCTCTTTAGCACCATCATCAACATCCATTGCTTTATTGGATGGGGAAGACCACAATGGATTAGATTCTTTCATAGTCCATAGGACTATAATACACTTTTCCTTTTTGGAGTATAGTAACTTTGTTAGTTTGCATTACCTGCAATATGCAATGCTGTCAGGGAGTGCCTTAAGTTTGTTTGCTGAAACATCTAGTATCTTCAGAGTAAGCAAAAGACCAATGGAATCTGGCAGCGAGACAAGCTGGTTGGAAGAGAGGTAAAGTTCCTCCAATTTTTCAAGCCCAGCAATAGAATCAGGAATAACCTAACGACAAATAAAATGTATCAGCAAATGAAAACCAAGCAAACCAAAATTGAGAAAACAAAAGGTTGTTTTCTTGACACAATTGTGATTATGATTTATGCCCCGCAAAGTCCCCACCATAAATTCTTACCAGCAACCATACTACACCTTGTCATACTTCAAAGTTCAGATTGTGTCTGAACTCATAGTCAAGGAACTGATAAAACACATACTTGCTATGAAATTACACAATACAATGAACACATCATGATTTAATGGTTTTGGTTACAGATAATGTGTTTGACTAGATTCAAATACCAATTCAGAAAGTCTACATACCTCTTCCTGGACAAGAAAAACCCATGACTAGGAACTGAAATTTATCAAATGTCGGCTTAAGCCATCACCATTAAGAGGAAGCATGGAAACAAATCTGAAACATTCTCCAAGCATTTATCAACATCAAACATTCTCCAAGCATCTATGCACATGAAAATTAAGCTGTAACCGATACTACTCATCCAATACCACTGGACCCCCCATCCACAGCACACACATTTTAAAAAAAAAGGGCAATGCATTCAAGGATGTAGCCTCCTCCATAACCAGCCACAGACAGAGATGATATTTCCAGAAAAACAAACACCAGAATCAGAGTGTGCCAGGAGCTGAGTATCACAACTCAAAACAAGAGGGGTGAAATAGCCGGTCTTCTCGTTTGCCCTTTTATTGAATTTATTATTATTTCTAAAAACTACAGCTGAGATTTATCTCCGTCATCGTCAAATCCTTTTCCCAACTAATTGAAGTCGGCTACACAAATCTTGGTCCTTTATTCTACTTTATTAAGGGCCATACCCTCGGTGAGGCCATAAGTCCCCATATCTTTTCTCACTACTTTCAACCATGTCCTTTTGGGCCTACCTCTTCATAGCCTCACCCATCTCATTTCTTTCACCAACCTCATCCTCCATCTACCCTTCATATTCTCTACTATCCTTTCCTACATATTCATGTAAATCCCCTCCTAAAAAGGTCCTCTCTCCATTTGGTTTGTCTCCAACATGTCCATCCATATCCTCCCTAACGTGTCTCTTGTCCTCTAGAGTCTTGCACCACATCCTCTAGTCTTACTTGTGGTGCATAAGCACTAATTATGTTAATTATATCTTCCCCTAGTACAGGTTTGATTAATAGGAGTCTATCACCTATTATCTTGATATTAACTACTATATCTTTTAAAGCTTTGTCTACTAATATGTCTACGTCATTTCTATTATTATCCTTTCTTGTATACTAAAGTTTATACCCATTTGTTTCCTTACTATAGATAAGTTATGTTTACTCACTTTCGTCTCATTGTATCCACTATCTCCATACTCTTACCTATCAGCGTTCCTATTTTTTATCCTTTCCACTTGTTTCCTATAGATAAGTTATATTTATTCTCTTTCGTCTCATTGTATCCACTATCTCCATACTCTTACTTATCAACGTTCCTATTATTTCTCCTTTCCACTTTCCACTTAGTTTCCTATAAATAAGCTATGTTTACTTTCTTTCGTCTCATTGTATCCACTATCTCCATACTCTTACCCAGTGTTTCAAAAAACGGCGAGTCAAACCGGACTCGCCCGGCTCGACTCGAAAACACGCGTGCCCGTGCAAGTTCCAAACAAAAACCGGGAACCGCCCCGTTCTAGAGTGGAACCGCCGGTTCCCAACCGGTTCAACCCGGTTCCCACACGTAAACGCATGACACGCACGTGCGAGCGTGCCCCACGCACACTCACACGTGCACACGTGTGTTCAAGCGCATGTGTGAGCGTGCCCCACGCACACTCACATGCGCACACGTGTGTCCAAGCACGTGCGAGCGTACCCCCACGCACCCACACGTGGACACATGTGTTCAAGCGCACGTGCGAGCGTGCCCCAAGCACACTCACACGCGCACACGTGTGTCCAAGCGAGCGTGCCCCACGCACACTCACACGTGCACACGTGTGTCCAAGCGCACGTGCGAGCGTGCCCCCACGCACCCACACATGCACACATGTGTCCAAGCGCACGTGCGAGCGTGCCCCACACATACTCAGGCGTGCACACGTGTGAGGTTGCCCTAATATTTTTACACACATTTTATTATATTGCATAAGTATTTATATACCAATGTGGAATACCCATCTTTCGATGTGGGATAATTCCAAACATCATTAAATGAAAACGAAATGTAAATATAGTCTATTAATCAGCAATTTATAATCACATGTAGTTAGATGGCTTTATGGTTATGACTTTGATTTTTTTACTTGAGGTCCCAAGGTCGAATCCCCTTGGGCACCCCTTGGGCATGTGTTGCATTTGAATCCCCTTGGGCATGTGTTGCATTTTTGTTGTGTATAATAGTGGTTGGTATAAATATTTTTGTTGTTTTCGAATCCCCTTGGACATGTGTTGCATTTTTGTTGTATATATAGTGGTTGGTATAAATATAAATATTTTTGTTGTGTATATAGTGGTTGGTATAAATATAAATATTTTTGTAACTAATATAAAAGATATAAAAAAATGAAAAATAAAAAATTTAATTTTTTATATAACAGTTAATTTTTGTTGTATATAGTGGTATAATTATTTTTGTAAATAATATGAAAGGTATAAAAAAATAAAAATAAAAAGTTTATTCTATTTGAAATCTCCATCTTTCTACTAACAATCTCTTTTACTAAATTTATTATAGAAACCTAAAAAAATAAATTTTTGAAAAATTGAAGTGTTATTTCCAAAATTTGTACGTATTTTATTAATTTTTACATTGATAACCAAATCTTTTATTTTAGTTATGAATTTTTACATTAGAAATCATGTAATGTACTATTTTTCTTACAGTTGTCAATAATACATTTTAAATTAGATAATATTATAAAATATTTTTAATTTGTTATTATTTGTCTAATAAAATAATTATAAAATGTAAACTAATAATTATAATTTCAGTATATAATATTATATTTAGTGAGGTTGTAATAATTTTGGATTATAGTTAGTTAGGCTGTAATAGTTTGGGTTTTTTTAGCGGGTTTGGGTTTTTTGCCAAAACGAGATTTTAATGGTCATTCTTTCATTGATTAGTCTACTCTTTATAATAGTCCATATATAATTATATATTTTATCCATGATAATTCTATGATTTTTCTTTTATGTGATGCAAATTTAATAGTTAAAATAAGTTTATACAGGGAAAGAACATCGCAATATTCATAAATTGATAAAAAAAATGAAAGTTAATAATGTAGTACCCTCATATTTTATTGGATTCCTAAAAAACAACATTTATAATGAATTTTAATAATTTTTTCGGATTTTTTTGAAGCTTTAATCCTAGCGATTCAGCCGATTCCCGATCCGGATCGCCGATTCGCCAATCCGAATGGGTTTTTTAGGTGCCCGATCCGGGCCACTGATCCGCTTTTTAAACCATTGCTCTTACCTATCAGCGTTCCTATTTTCAGTGTGACTAAGCGTATCCTATCCTCTTGGACTGGCTTCTTTCTCACTGTACCTGGGATCCGGTACAACGGATTGCTTACGGGAAACACCCTAGCATAAGCAAATAATCTATATTTCGGATTCAGGGAAAGTTTGGCAAAATTTTACGTTGGCTGCCAATCTAACACAACCCACCTCTTTTACCCAGGCTTGGGACAGGTTAAGGGAAAGTTTAAGGTCTTCACCTTTCCTAGACCAAGCTGTTTTTACTTTATTCAAAGTCATTTGCTGAAAATCACATGTTTTTAGCCATAAATAACTAAAAATAGTTGGAAATCACCTAAAAAGTTACATAATTAAATAATATTATACATAAACAACAAACAAAATAATTAACAATTTGATCTGGTTGGTGCACCAACCCACCTTATCCTACGTATAATAATTTTAGATAGGACAGTTTATTCCAGATAAAATTAACTGCCATCCAAACAAGCCCAAAAGGTAGTGGAAATATCCACAAATCGAATGCCTCATGATGATTTCATAAATTTATATAGAGACATGTGGTGCTAATAAGTATCTCCTCTTCTTAGGATTGGTATAAAATTTCTAGACAATCCTCTGTCCTATTACATTCTTTTTTGGGTTAATATTTCTTTAGCAAGTTCTCTTAGGATTGGTATAAAATTTCTAGACTATCCTCTGTCGTATTACATTCTTTTTTGGGTCAATATTTCTTTAGCAAGTTCAAATTCAGAAAACTAGTGCACAAGGTTACGAACAACGAGCAGACAAGGAGATCAATGTTCAGTTGTGGAAGACCAATACGAAGGAAGATGGAGATGGGATTGAATAGGGTGCCCTGGTGGCAATTGGTGGCAACATCATGTCACATGGTAAGGCACACAATTGTTTCATCAAACATGGTTTACGTGAAGTTTCATATCCATGATGCATATTAGTTTGCATGGGGGAATAAGAGTGTGGAGATCACTCTTCTATAGAACAAATATGAGGTGTAGAGCAAATTTAATGGAAGCAGAACGATGCAGATCGCATGTCTAAAGGCATCACCAGAAGACTTTTCACCCAGATGTCCAGTCGTGGTGATCCAAAAGCTTAAATTGAAGATCTCTTTGAGATCAATGACCCATACTACGGGTTTTTCACAATTTAACATTTTGAGCAGCATATTGTGGTTAAAAGTATAATGACTAACCTTATATTCCCAAGTGAGTTAGGTTTCTTTCCTTTCCTTGTTGGTTAATTATTTTAAATGGGTTTTAACTTCAGTTTCCTCAAGTTACACGATTTCTAGAAAGTAAGATTCCAATCTTAGAAGGAATAGACACCTTAGAGTTAGGTAGTTTCCTTGATTCTTTAGGAGTTTGTTTTCTAAGCTTTTGAGAGTCCAAGTATATACAAATACTATGTAGGCCTCTGGCCACTTGAATAAAGACTAAGCTCTTTGTTTTGGTAGTGTGAGGTCATATTTGGAATAGTGATTCCTTGACCTCGAGGAAAGA